AATAGAATAGAATAGAATAGAATAGAATAGAATAGAATAGAATAGAAATAGAAATAGAAATAGAAATAGAAATAGAAATAGAGTAGAGTAGAGTAGAGTAGAGTAGAAATAGAAATAGAAATAGAAATAGAAATAGAAATAGAAATAGAAATAGAAATAGAGTAGAGCAGAGCAGAACAGAACAGAACAGAATAGAATAGAATTCTTTATTGGCCAAGTGTGATTGGACACACAAGAAATTTGTCTTTGATGCATATGCTCTCAGTGTACATAAAGAAAAAATAAAATACATTCATCAAGAATCATAAGATACAACACTTAGTGATAGCCATAGGTTACTAATAAGCAATCAAATCATAGTAGGAAACAAATAAAACAATATAAATTGTAAAGATACAAGCAACACGGTTATAGTTATAAGTTGGAAGAGATAGATAATAGGAAGGATGAGAAGAATAATAGTAATACAGTCTTACTAAATAGTTTGACAGTGTTATGTGAATTACAATTATTAATTAATTGTAAGGGATTAATTAATTAATTAAGGGGATTACAATTAGTTAGGGGCCAAATCCACTGCTTAAGGTCCATTGTTTTTTAATTCCAGTTTGTGTTACCTGTCATCTGAATGTTTAAATAGGCAAGGCTCTAGCTTATTTAATTGCAGTGAGCTTCCCTAGTATGTCAGCATTATCGGAGTAAAAGTATTTTAGGCAGGAACCGAGTGTTGTGCCTTCCATCAGAACATCTTTTGTTTCACACCCATCCCCAGGAAGAGTCTTTCAGCACACACCGCATTTGTGTGAACGTCTTTCACTGCCATCTCATTGGCTGAGGAGTGGGTGGTGTGTGAGAGGGCAACAATCCAGCTCTGGCATAAACAGCAGATTGCAACGCCAGAGAATAAATATTAATCGCTTTCCACCAGCAGGAGCTCAAAGCCGACCGGTGTCACATTACTGTAGAAACTTTCTAGGAAGTGTTTACTAGAAGCTCCGATTCCATTTGCAGAAGTGAGAAAAACAACGCTGTTTATCTTCTGCAGGATTCGTGTGCCTATGTGGCAATGCTCTTTGTGGAGCTAAAGCAAGTGGTGAAACAACTTGCTTTATTCTAACAAAGAGAGGACTCAGTCATTTATGAAGGTTTACCCACAGAGAAAGTAAAAAAAACCCTTGTGATCCCTGGTGATTTCGTGGTTTCTTCACCAGTGGTGAAGAAATGGGTTGCCATCAGAGGTGGCATTCAGCAGGTTCTGACCAGTTCTGGAGAACCGGTAGTGGGAATTTTGAGTAGTTCAGAGAACCGGCAAAAACTACCCCTGACTGGCTCCGCCCCCATCTATTCTCTGCCTCCCATTGAGTCCCAGCTGATCGGCTGGGTCTTCTTTTGTTGTCCTACACAGGAGAACGGAGCTGGAAAGCAGGTTAGTGGGGTGGGGAGGGAATGGGATTTTACAGTATCCTTCCCCCAGGAGTGGGGAGGGAATGGAGATTTTACAGTATCCTTCCCCTGCCATGCCCACCAAGCCACACCCTACCCACCAAGCCATGCCCACAGAACCGGTGGTAAAAAAAAATTGAATCCCACCACTGGTTGCCATGTCTTTCTTTTAGCCTATATCAATGGATCCTCTGGAGATCTCACCATCAAGCAGGAGCCACATCTGAATTGTGCTCAACTCCCCAGGTGAAGGCTTTCAAAAAAGGAGAGTCTGAAGAGATTCTCCGTCATCCAGGTCATGGTTGTCTCAAAGGTGCTTTTTCAGGAGGCAACTGGACTTCCTTGTTTTTTCTTTGAAGACGTTTCACTTCTCCTCCAAGAAGCTTCTTCAGCTCTGACAGGATAGTGGGGATTTATATTCCTTAAAGACTTGCCATATAAACCCTTCCATTCCCCACTATCCTATCAGAGCTGAAGAGGCTTCTTAGATGAGAAATGAAATGTCTTCAAAGAAAAAACAAGAAATCCAGCAAGGGGTGTGTGTGTGTGACATGATAGCTGTCTTCTGGTACTTGTGGGGTTGTCACAAGAGAAGAAGTGGATAATTTATTCTCCAAAGCACCAGAGGGTAAGACAAGAAGTAATGAGTGGAAACTTGTTAAAGATAGATCCAGCCTGGAACTAAGAAGAATTTTCCTGACTGTGAGAGAAATTAATCAATGGAACAGTTTGGGTTGTGGGTTCTCCATCATTGGAGGTCGTCTAGAACAAAGCTGGCTGAGGAATTCTGGGAGTTGAAGTCCACAAGTCTTAAAGTTGCCAAGGTTGGAGACCCCTATTCTAGAAAGACCAGACAGCCATTTGCCTGGGATACAATAAGGTTTCCTCCTTTGGGGAAGGGGTTGGATTAGAAGACCTCCATGGTTCCTTCCAACCCTATGATGAACCAACTCAGCACCATCCACAAGTTAAAAAACTATTTAGAGATTCTTCTCTTTCTTCCCTTTTGATCTCCCAATGAGTGGCATTGGGGGGGGATGGAAATGACCCCAAAGCAGGTTGCACTAATCAATGCAAATTCCCATTTTGTATGTGAATTGTGACCTCACCTGCAGATAGAAAAGAACTGGAGCTTTGGTTGCAGCAATGAAACAAAAGGCTAAAAAGTTGTACGTATGTAGTTACCTACCAAGCACTTCTAAATTATATTAAGGTAACCAAAAATATCTTTACAACCCCAAGGCATGTCAAAACATTTGAGCACCCCTAATGTTTGAAAATGGAAAGCTGAAAAATTCAACACGGCCTAACTGCAGCAGCATGTCACGAACAATGTGGAGCGTGTGACTTTTGCAGTAGGATATTGCAATGTTGTTTTCATCCGGTACGGTGACTACTAGACACAACTGCCGGAACCTCAAATAATTGGACACTGTCCTGTTGAGGAAGGCTAGCTTAAATGAATCAGGATTGGTTTAGTTCCAACATAAGACACAGAGGCTGCATTGTGCCCTAGAGATCCTGAGATGGGAACACCTACAAAGTCAGCGGAGATGCCATGTTTGTTGGCAACTCATTATCCTCACGGCGGAAAGGGAGGGGAGAAAGGAGACTCCAAAACTGATTAACCTCTAAGGCAGACTGAATTTCAGCCTCCAAATTCCCACCAAGAGCTGCTGAACTTTAAAGGCTATTTTAAGTTGCCAGCAAATGCTCTGAAGGAGGAAGAGGTC